CTCTGCATTTGACGTGCTCGTGTGGCTCGTCATCGTAACGTTCACATTATATACCTTGTTGTACATTGGTCCAAAGCTGAAAACGAACGTCTGCATATTACGTCCGTATAGCACCCCGCGAAGCGGAGACCAGTGAGTGACGCACGACCGGCCCTCTGTTGCATAACCACCTCCACTGCTATTATACCCTGGTACTTGAGACTGTCGCTGACAGTTGAATAGCTCGTATTTTCTCATTTTTATATTCATTCCTGTTTGTTTGTTACAAAATACATATTTTGTTTGTGTGGAGTAAAATTAATAATGTTGGATGGACATAAGAGTTATTTAAAAATATTGAAAATCTTTACATAAAATGATTGACGGCGAATGAAAATGGGGAAAAAGCGCCAAAAATATTATGTCTAGGAACCATACCTACATTAAAGTTATACAACTACTTAATTCGAATTTCCAACCGAAGTTTGTTACACAAAGGTCATCGTTCGCGACAATTTATTTATGAAATTACAACAAGATACGGGAAGCTGGGATAAAATGAAATTACACATTAAAATTTATTAGAACGACTCGTACCTACGTTTATTGAACTTGAAAGTTCATAGATTTACGGTTATACTTTGAAATGAGTTATTTACAGCTCAGACAACTTTTAGTACGTACTAATTGCACATATTGAAATAACAGTTATGTTACATAACTTATATGTTATCGACTATACGAGATTATTTAAAACGCAAACGGAATAATGAATTATAAAATATTGTTACAATTATGTTTAATATTCGCTAAGGAACAGGATATAAAAAATAATTATTTGTGTTCTTTGTTATCTGTATCCGAGTCTAGTTTGTCTACGGTATTTATACTAACGAACATGCAAAGGGTTTTTTGACGAGAACGCGAGGAGCGAGGTGTGAATCGTTTTATTTTCTTTATTTTAGTGTTTGTTCAGATTCAAAAGTGCAATAATGGTGACTTATTAATCATATGTCATTTCTGAAAGTGCGCAAGTATGTGGAACGAAACATGAAAGAAACTCACTGACGTAGCTTCTCGGTTTCTTCCAAAAGCTCGTTAAATCTCAGGAAATTTTCATCATTTCTCTGGCACGATTCTATTTCAAGTTGATTCATTCCAATAGATTACAATAACGAATAAATCAACGTTTTTTCATATAATTATAGCAGCAGAGTTTTCTAATTTCAATAATGGCAACATTGTTATCGAAAGTAACCAATTTATGCTCTACTGAAAAAAAAAACATACACAGATATCAATAAATCGTTACATATCCTAAAGCTTCATGATTGTGAAAAGGCGAAATGACATTGCATAGGTCATCATCATCATCATCAACAGCCCACAGTCGTCCACTGCTGGACATAGGCCTCTCCCAATCTACACCACTGAGCCCGATCTGCGGCTCTCCTCATCAACTTCTTGCCGGCCACCGTGCGGAGGTCATCGCACCATCTAGCCAGGGGGCATCCCACGTTACGTTTTCCGCTGCGCGGTTTCCACTCGAGAATCCGTCTGCTCCAACGATCGTCAGTCCTACGGCATATATGGCCAGCCCACTGCCACTTCAGCTTGCTGATTCTTTCCACCATGTTCACGATAACAACAGATCACAATTTCGAATTAAACGGCGAAATCTGAAGCCTTGGAACGACCGAACATTAGTTAAGAACGTGCCAAGCGTGAACCATCTTCATTAATGTCATTTACACTACACAGCTTGATTCGATTGGAAGCCTAATAATACGGGCCGTTGTATTCAAAGTCATTCGGTCACCTTCACACTCTCGGTATGTTTTCCTATTGTTGAAGGCGCGTGCCCCCAGAACGACGAACTCTGGACCTCAGATGGACTTTGACATTGTGTATATTTAGATTTAGTAATATTTATGATGTATTGGAAAGTTAGAGATGAATACGCAATTCGATTAATAGAATTTAATGTTATTCATTGCATATTTTATAAATTATAACGGTTGCGATACGCGCAGTTCGTCTACTTTTATTTACGCTTGATCCAGAAAGAAACTACTACAGAACTGGATCTTGTTTTTTTTAAAATTGAGTTTTTGAGTATGACGCGCGGCCCTAACACCAGAAGGCACGAGGCATTAGCATTATTTCTCTTTTCAATCGCGGCCTGAGCTTCTTAGCCTTTTCTTTTCTCGGCGATCTAAGGAACTTCACTATAATTAAAATTATTTGTACTTTTTCATATTTTCTTTTTATTTATTGCTTACACGAATGGAGAAGCTCACAGCCCACCTGGTGTTAAGTGGTTACTGAAGCCAGATATCTATGGGCTACGTAAATACCGCCACCCACCTTGAGATATGAGTTTTAAGTTCTCAGTATTGTTACAACGGCTGTCCCACCCATCAAACCGAAACGCTTTGCTGTATTGCTTCACGGCAGAAATAGGTAGGGTGTGGACTCACAAGAGGTCCTATCACCAGTAAAATTTTATTACGCTTTCATTATTAAATAGCTATACCAAGTGTTTAGAATACAATTTTCAAGGTCTCAACGTTGAGTATATCAAATGATAAACGATTTTAATGAGCACTTAGAAGGTCAAATATCACAATTATATCTGTTTTATCAAATAACACAATTATATCTTTCAGAAATAATAATCTCTATTGTATTTGTTTGTTAAGTGCTTGCCAGTAAATATCAGTCTGATAAATTAATGTCCGCGCAAATGACAAATGACTATATCCGCAGAAATATATCAATTAATTTTGGTTTAATAGCATCGACGGTGCGAAAAATACGTTATTTCATTAGTTTAAGTTACGAGCTGAAAGTAGACTTAATGTTAAGCGTTAGTAATAGTAGATCAGGGTGGCTTTCCCTATGAATAATAGGTTGATAAACTGACATTTTCTTTAGACCACTGGGGGCTTTTACTTTATTTTTACACAACGTGAAGTTAAACATTGTCTTTGAAATATCCACAGCTGTGCTTTTTAGGGTTCTCTGAAACTATGTAATAATAGTTTGTATTCGTCATTTAAAAGAACACTCTTCTTTTTTTTTATTGCTTAGATGAGTGTACGAGCTCACAGCCCACCTGATGTTAAGTGGTTACTGGAGCCCATAGACATCTACAACGAAATGCGCCACCCACCTTGAGATATGAGTTCTAAGGTCTCAGTATAACGGCTGCCCCACCTTTCAAACCGAAATGCATTACTGCTTCACGGCAGAAATAGGCAGGGTGGTGGTACCTACCCGTGCGGACTCACAAGAAGTCCTACCACCAGTAATTACGCAAATTATAATTTTGCGGGTTTCATTTTTATTACACGATGTTATTCCTTCACCGTGGAAGTTAATCGTGAACAATTGTTGAGTACGTATTTCATTAGAAAAATTGGTACCCGCCTGAGATTCGAACATCGGTGCATCGCCTCAACACTTATGCACCAGACGTCTTATCCATTAGGCCACGACGACTACTACTTTTTGTTATACTTTTTATTTTGAAAGTATATTTATTAATTTCATTGTTTCTAAATTAATAGCCGAACTCGGCGCGATTTGATTCGCCAATCTTTGTTCCCATCGCTACCAAACAGAATAGCCCGCTAGAACAATCTGAAGGTTTCTGGAAATCGAAATCGGGAGTCCCTCAGGAACATACAGAAATTGATTTCTATGTATAAATTAATAGATGATCAATAAGGACAACGAAGAACAAGGAACCAATTATTATTGAAATAAGGGAACTTTCGCGAATTCGTTACCAGGAATTCATAAATGATCACAAGCGTATATTTTTTTCTTAGTCAAGTAATGAGTTAACCGACTAATGAATCAACAAGTGACGTATTTAAATCTGAGTCAGTAGTTTGAATTACGTTGTAGAACGCTTGTAAGGTTGATTTCCGATGAAACAGCTGGCGTTATTTCTTTGGATTGATCGGCATAATAGCACTCATTAAGTACCTATAGTGTGTCATTAATAACTAGTTAGAGGTTGAGAATCGATACATTCCGTATCACATTTTTTAATTAAAATATCTACGATTTCTACCACTTTATTGGTGTTGGCAACACAGTTTGGACAATTAAATTGTGGAATTGAGTGCGGTAAAAAAAAGTTTTGACAGTTTCAATCCAAGATGGCTATCGGTGGTGTACGAAAATTCTCGACTAAAAATCTATCATAAATGTTATCGGTTTTTGTTCCGACGCTCCACAACTTCGATTCGTCTGTTTCGAACGATGTCAGATAAAACATTGACCTTCTTAAAACAATGACGCGTATATTGTCCGTAAGTGATTGTAAACAAGACATGCCAGATAACATGGTCACGTTGTATCTAATGCTCAGCCACGATTCGGGGCGTCTGTTCCGCCGGCACTGGCTCCTAGTCCCGCTACTTGTTATTTGTGCTACTCCGTCGAGCAGCTGATTTTTGGCGTGCCAACTACAAACAAACGGTTGGCACGCGCGCGTGTAGGCCACATGTACTGACGTAACCGTAACGCCTGACCACGCCTTTCTATTCCTCTCTGTCGCTACAATGCGCTAATATAGTCCGTCTCACTCTTCATTGCAGCGTGACTGATTTTGTCTAGTTCTGGCAATAATAACCTCTACGGAAAAGGAATACAGCACGTTATCGTATAACGTTTAACGAGGTCATATCGTGTTCGTTTGTACTATCTCACTCTGACTGATACATCTGTTTCATTCGGCCATTCACGCAACCTCTTGCCCTCTATGCGATCCTGGTACTTTACCGCCACGTATTGCAGCCGACGACGTGTTTGACATGGGTTTGACAAGTACCGACTGACCGGACCGAGTGAGTGTCCGATAAAATATTTCAGAATTTTCAGAAAATCTGAAACTAGATTACTTAGGTACTGTTTTTCAATTAGTCAGTGCATTTTTTCAGCTTCATCAGGACGATTTTGTCTCTTATTTAATATAAAAGTGGAATAACGTGAAGTTTTATTTACAGAAGAGGAACCGAAGTCGCCTGTGATAGTGCGCTCAGCGACGGTGATGCCGGTGACGGCGTGCAACGGCATCGTGAATGTGAAACCGCCGTCACCGGTACCCCCCGCGCCCGCCCTCGAGCTGGTGTCCGCGCCAGCCCCCCACCCCGCACCCCTCATCGACTTCGCACAAGAACATTCCAGGCCGCGTACGACGAGCAACACCAGTCATGGGTATGTGTTCCTAGTAACAGCGCTGTCTAAAACAGCTGGAGATTCGCATCCGTTGTTGTTTTTAATGTTCTGTCATAAAACGATACACACAGATTTTTCGATTTCAATCAAATTAAATTTAAAAATATATAAAATAAAGATACTGTACATTACTAACATCGGCCATAGAAGTTTTTTTTACTGCCCTGGTAGGCAGACGAGTTTGCAGCCCACCTGATCCGATGCCTATCGCTGTATGGGTACATAGTTTGAAAACATTCAAATCGCATTAAAATTTATTCAAATTAACCTTGAATGCTCAAATATTAGTCGTTTGATAACCAGCCAACCGGTCCACGTATATTACACGACCTCTGATTTTGTATGCTGCCTGATACTGCAAAGAGGTCAAGTTGTATCTCCATTGTTGTAATAGATATTATAGAATGAAACATGACTTTAATCTCAGAGACGGAATCGTCAAATCAATACACGAAAAATTAATACAACGCACAAGTGATTTAGATTAAAATTATTTAGAGTACATATTAATTAACCCATAATTAAATAAATAGATATTGGTTCGAATCATGTCGTGATTACCTCTTCAAAGTAGACTTCTAAATTAATATAGAAGCCACTAAATTTAGTATAAAAATACACTAATTAATCGATTAAAAAAATCAGGTTCCAGAAACTGAGACTTAAACAATTAACCACCTACGCACGAACCAAAGCGATTTCTTTTTAAAAGTGAGTCTTAACTCGAGATATTGTTTCGTCTTATTTCACATTCGATATTATAAAAGTTGTTTTTTGTGTAAACTATTAAAATAGATATTAACAGCTCGATAGCAATTTGTATTTTATAGGTGACGTCGATATAAGGAAGAGCGAGTGAGTAAGTAGCAGGAACATATCGTCTTCTCGCACTAAAACTGTATAATCTCAAAACTTACTAAACTTTACAAGAGAGTGTTTTAAAAGTTTAACATATTATTATGATATTTTTAATATTAATCATCTCAGTTACATTATCTGTTTTTTAAAGTAAGATAAAATTATGTATTCACTTTGTTAATAGTATTTAAAATATAGGTAGACTAAAAAAAAAAACTAAAACTAAACTACGCTCTTTTGACAGTATTTATGAGAAAAATACCGGTGATACCAAATCATTCCGCATATTAACTCAATTTCGAATATTTTTGGAAATTGTGCACTTTTAATCCGCAAAGACGATCTGTTTGTCTGTCATTCATTATTGTATTGAGTGTGTAGAATTGTGAAGTCGTCGCGGCTTAAAGTATAAGATATCCGGTGTAGTACTCGTAAATCGTACGATAGCGACGTGACTGGGCCAGTGTTCAAAACTCGCAGGCAGGTACCATAATTTAAATTAAATACGTACTTAACACACGAATGAGCTCTACGATGAAGGGAAATAATATCCTCTGATATAAATACAGACCCGACAAAAAATGGAATTTTCATAAATACTGGTGGTAGGGTATATCGTAAGCTTTTCGCCGTAAAGCTGCCAAGTAAAGATTTGAAGAGACAACTGTTATACTATGGAACTGAGAATTTCACCTTGCGGCTTTCTCATCCGTTGATAAAAACAGCTATGCTATGTCTGTATAGCAGGATTTTTTACTTAGGGACTGATAGAATATTCCGGTCCTAATACTATACTATATTATTATAATAATATATATAAAAATGAATTGCTGTTCGTTAGTCTCGCTAAAACTCGAGAACGGCTGGACGGATTTGGCTAAGTTTGGTCTTAAATTATTTGTGGAAGTCCAGAGAAGGTTTAAAAGGTAGATAATTAGGAAAATGCTCGGATTTTGTTTTTTCGTTGAAGTGTCCCCCGTCGGACTGATTTCTTTTGTTTGTTTTAAGTTTATTTTATACAAAGGTTTAGGTCTTTTATTTATCGATTGAGGCACTACGAAGTCTGCCCCGTCAGCTAGTACTATATAAATAAATACATCATCATCATCATCGGCCTATAGCAGTCCACGGCTGGACTAATGCCTCTTCATTTGCGCTTCCACTGAGCACGATCCTAGGCTTCTCTCATCCAGCTTCTTCCAGCCAGATGACTATACATCATTTCACCAGCCTGAGGGCTATAAATACACACGAGATACTAAAAACCTAATCACATTTAAAAAAACGTTTCAATGAAATATATAAATAAATAGGGTGAAGTTAACAAATAAGTGTAGTAAAAAAACTGGGTATTATTAGGCCAAAGTAATAAAATCATTATTTTGAGCTTATTTGATAGTGAAAATTACATTGAAATATTACGCTACATTTGTACATACATCCCATGCTAATAACACCGTGTTAGTAAATAGCGTATGAATAAAAAATAAAAAATAAAAATAAAACACTTATGGATTTCCTTGAATTTTTGTTTTTCAATGAACATTATCAATTTATTAAAACACGCTTGATAAATTTCAATATTCACGTGTAATGTAACGCACCCCCAATGACCTCGTGCACATTAATTGAATATTTACAAGCCATCTACAATATATTTTCATGAAAAATTATATCTTACTATTTATATTACAATTCGATTCGATTTATCTTAAAATGTAAATAGGTCAACGCATTGGAAAATTAAATTGATCAGGGTGGGTACCTTCTACAATGTCATGAGGTCCTAGTAGGGTTGACCGTTACAACAACTAAGATCATTTGTCAATTTATTGCCATTGTTGATAAAGTATTTTTTTTATACGGTCCATTTGATGGTAAGTTGTCATCGTCGCCCATGGACATCAACAATCCAAGGAGAATAACCGCTGCCTATTACTTGTTTAAGGTCTTACAGTAAGTACCCTTTTCATATCCCACCCACTTGCCTCCCTTGCAAAAAAAAACTTTATTTTTATTTTTAACAAATGAAGTTAAGGATCAATTCTTTAAATTTTCGCGATTTGTAAAAATAATTTTATAAGTACTTTTACGTAAATGAAATATGTAAATAAAAAAAATATTAATATTTTTTATAGAATATTAGATAGATCACATAGTAATAATATTATGTGACAATTATGTAATTCATAACAATATTTAATTGTTAAAATTTTAACGTTGGCGAATAACGTTTTAATCATTCGTGAACACGAAACCTGTAAAGACGACAGATAATATACGCGAGAAGCTGTAAAACTGTGAAACTGTAAAAGTAATTTTAATTACCGTTACGAAATCTCACACTGGTACCACGCAATTAAGATGTAATGGAACTTATACTGATTTCATAATTATTATATTGTACAAATAAATGAGCACACATTATGAATCAACGCGACCTAGGTAAATTTCCAAGTCACCTACATGAACGTAAGGAATGATTTAGGAAAATGTGTGTCAGGGTTAGGCCGAGAATATAATCTGCCTAGTACGATCCTGTTACGTGTTCTGGGAACTTGGCCTATTCTTCCCAAGTTCGTAGGCAAATGGGCTTTAACTGGGTGATGCGTAAACAAACAGAAGAGATTGTAATATTCATAACTCATAACTCAATAATAATAATATTCATAACTCATTCTACTAGGTCCGTTGTTCGCTCATCTCACGGGTGCTGTTACCAGTTGGAAGAAATGCTATTAAAGTCTCTATTCCGTTATAAATAATTCCTAACGTTGTTTTTTCTCCAACATATGCGGGTAAGCTAGGGGATAGCGTTAACCTGAGGCCGTTGCTAACACTAGCCCTAGCAAGAGCAGTGAATTATAGAATCTACCACCGAATCGGAAACGTGACCTATTGAGAAGATCCGGCGAAAAACTCAGTGGGCCGTGTCTGAGGGTTACACGTGTTATAAATATGAAAATATAAAATTTAGAACTCAATATTAATAGAACGTAATTGCTGGTGGCAGAGTGTATCGGAATGAAAAGACCGTTCACTGCAATGCATTGACCAGCTCGCTGCCTCATCTGGATGGGGAAGAGTCATCTGGTTTTTAACTACATATACCTCTAGACCAAATGGTAAACAGTCGACCTCGCCCTGAGTACGCCATTACGGATCCTCCCGATCCAATAACGGTGCTTTTAGGTACCACAAGCATCGGTCACCGTCCTCGTAGAACCCGTCGCTTGCGAAGAAGGGCTCGACGAGCGAATTAACCCATGACACAACCCACTGAGTTTCTCGTCGGATCTTCTCAGTGGGTCGCGCTCCCGATCCGGTGGTAGATTCTGCGAAGCACTGCTCTTGCTAGGGCCAGTGTTAACAACACTTCGGTTTGAGCCCCGTAAGCTCACCTACATGTTAGGGTGAAGCTGAAATAGACTCAAGGCTATCAGCATAGGTAGGGAAAAAAAACTACATATATTGAAATTCTGTAGTTCGTTCCTTCGAATACAAACGGATGGGCGCGAGTTTTGATGGTCCACCTATAGTTCCACTAGTGCGTATGCAAAATCTTTCTCAGAGAATTTGATCACGTCTCAGACGCTTAATCGCAGGGTTGCTAATTGTCATCGTTAATAATAGAACAACGATTTTAACAAACACAAGCTCGATCAGCCCTACGAACGAACATGGCTTCTTCAGAACGCTGTCAAGGTTGGGATAATAACTAGGATTGTATAATGTATTCCCATAGGCTCGATGATCATCACATATGACCTTCTGTTGCTTCGATTTGCATTATTCATGACTTACACACGCCATAACCTTAGGAATACAGAATGACTTGTCCCACATATATTTCGTGGTTTGTTTCGCCGGAATTTGTTTCTCCGTGTCTAAAGGACTGTAGCCCTTTTTGTTGTCTAAATACGACTAAGACTCCCCGCGCACTAGGCAGCCTGGCTGCGACAACCAATACCGCAGTTATATGGCAGTATATGGCGTTGTATGGGGGCCTGCGGACATAAGTAGCCCGGAACTCTTGGCTGCGGCAGCCAATACAACGCGCCTATTGCACGGCAGCCCATTGACTGTACGCGGCCAGAGCGAATGTTGGCGAATGTATATGGCTGCTGTCAGTCACCGCGCACTTGTAGCCGCCTATGCATATTCGTTTTGCCAAATGTTAGCTACATGACACAGCATGTTTGTACAATTTTTTGTATTTAAAAAAATCGGTCTGGGTATTTTGATAGGTGGACGAGCTCACACTCCACCTGGTGTTAAGTGATTACTGGAGCTCATAGACATCTACAAAGTAAATGCGCCACCCACCTTGAGATATAAGTTCTAAGGTCTCAATTATGAGTTACAACGGCTGCCCGACCCTTCAAACTAAAACGCATTACTGCTTAACGACAGAAATAGGCAGAGTGGTGGTAGCTACCCGCGGGGACTCACAAGAGGTCCTACCGCCAGTATGTATGAACATATTTAAAATAGTTATAGAATAAGCCTTTTTGAGTGCCGTTCTAGAAAAAGAGGATGAATCCAGTGTCTTGGCTTTGCGTTTTTTACGAGATAAAGTGAAAATCGCTCGACGAAAGGATCATAAATGGGCGTTGACTAGTCTCTATAACTGGCTTCTCAAATATGTCGGTTGCCGCAGCCAGGCTGCCTAGTGCGCGGGGAGCCTTAATGTATTGGTGAATGTTTGAGAAATGAAGAAAACGATATCTTGCAAATAAATGCAATAGATCTACATGCACACACGGAACGTGGATACAGTCATTTATGTTGAGATAAGAAGCCTTGTAAATGTAAAACAACTGTCCCGTCCTAAAAATGGAAAAACACACACTCTTTGCAAAAATCAGCAGAATATTGATATCAAAGAATCTTAATACGCGACACTTATCTTTGTAATTAAAGGTGCTTTTTATTCGGGATTAGCAACAGTTCGATGTTTTTAATTGGTGCCGTCAACGCAAAAGTGGCCTAACTCAAATTTTTCATAATCATGCTTATAATTATGTTCTTTTTGTTATTGCTAAGTTGAGTTTTTTTGCCTAGTCAAATTCAAATTCATGAAAACTTAAACTTCATTGTTCCATAATAACTATGGTAAACTTAGGCCATTTTTGCGTTGACGGCCTCAATTGAACTTCGCTTAAGCTTATTCAATTCAAGCCAAGTTTTTGGGTTATGATATTTTTTCCAAATTTTAAATGGCTCTCTTGTAAAGTTGCAAAAATGTCGCTTAAACCAAATAGTCTTTCAACTCTGGATACCTAACCGTGCGGGATACAACACGCTGTATCGTCCGTGCTTACGATTACAACCCTCAGACACAGCCCACTGACTTTCTCGCCGGATCTTCTCAGTAGGTCGCGTTTCAGATCCCGTGGTAGATTCTGCGAAGCACGGCGCTAGGATTCGTGTTAGCAACGTCGTCAGGTTTGAGCCCCGTGAGCTCACCTACTAGTTAAGGTTACGCTGGAATAGCCTCTCAAGGATACCAGCTTAGGTAGAAAAAAAAAATGATTACACAAGTTCGGTGAATCTACCATTAAGCCGACTTCAGACTACGCTATAATATAATAGCATATAGCTCATAGCATTTATTACAATATCGCGCGCCATACATTGTAATGGACACGTTCACACTGTACTGTACTATACTTATATATTATTAGCTAATTATAGGTTGCTATACTGTAAGGCGCTATAGTATAGCGTAGTCGGAAAGCAGCTTAACTCATCGAGATGACTAGCTAGGTAGACGAAAAAGCAAACAATATTTTAAATCGGTGAAGCAAAAATGTCGGTAGTATTATTTTATTAAGTACTTTTTGTTGATAAGCTTATGAAACAACAATTGAGTCGTCTATTATCAAAGGTGGCAATCTGTGCATTGTTATTGATATGTCAATACAGATTGATTTGAATATAATCGTCTCCTTCAAAGAATACGGTTCAAAACCTGCATTAAGATGTCGTTCAGAAGAATTTTGTGACTGCCAATGGAATACAAAGTCAATAATTCGTTTTTCTGATTTACCAATAATTGTCCAAAAGTCACATTGCCGACTTGATAATAGTAGACTCAATTATATTGTTTGAATTGAATACATTTTTAAAAATTTACGCGTAGTACGATACTGATAGTCGAAGATCTGACGATTGCATTGAGGAAAAAGAATTACATTTTTCCTGTTTGTGTGTGGCAATATGAAACCTCTGCACGTAATGTCGTAAACAATTAAGAAGTCATAAACTATTGCTAAACCTTTCTCGGTTGCTCTCTGTATTTTCATTTCGGTCCACCGCTGCCTTTTTTGTGAGTACGGAGAGTTATTAATATTCTTTCTAAAGCATGGATATTGAGTTTGTAGCCTAGAAGATAATTTTGGGACAGCTTTTCCTGATCGTGCCACCAAAATTATTATTAACTCAATAAAAATATGCATACGTTTTGCTAGTGGCAGGGTGGAGTATAAGCCCGCTAAGATGGATATTACTATCCGATCTATCTCTATCAAAAGGTCATTTAACCACTGAACATCAGGTGGACCGTTATGGTTCAGCTATTCAAGCAACACAAAAATATAAAAAAATGCATTCTTAATTTATGTGCTTTGAAATTTTTAAGACTATATAAGTATCATTTTCCATTGTCTACAGGCCATCTCAGATCCCCTCGTTCTTAATTCATGTGCTTTGAAATGTTTATTAAGACTAAGTATCATTTTGCATTGTCTACAGGCCATCTCAGATCCCCTCGTTCTTAATTCATGTGCTTTGAAATGTTTATTAAGACTAAGTATCATTTTGCATTGTCTACAGGCCATCTCAGATCCCCTCGTTCTTAATTCATGTGCTTTGAAATGTTTATTAAGACTAAGTATCATTTTGCATTGTCTACAGGCCATCTCAGATCCCCTCGTTCTTAATTCATGTGCTTTGAAATGTTTATTAAGACTAAGTATCATTTTGCATTGTCTACAGGCCATCTCAGATCCCCTCGTTCTTAATTCATGTGCTTTGAAATGTTTATTAAGACTAAATATCATTTTGCATTGTCTACAGGCCATCTCAGATCCCCTCCCCTCCCTCCGTGGGTAGCACGGGTAGCAGCGGAGGCAGCGCCTCCAGCGTACCGCGTGCTGGTACCCGCGAAGTCCACAACAAGCTGGAAAAGAACCGTCGCGCCCACCTCAAGGAGTGCTTCGAGCTGCTCAAGCGACAGCTTCCCGCCACCTCTGACGACAAGAAGACTTCCAATCTCTCTATTTTGGGATCCGCGATTAGGTATATTCAGGTATGGAAACAATCACCTCTCTTGGTTTATTTACGCCTGGTACTTTGATGAGTTGCTCCCAATGCGTTTAAAATAAATTATAAATTAATAAATAATAACTGTTGCAAGGATACTTGTTATGTTTGGATATCCTTTATGACACACATGCATACATGGTACTCAAAAATTTAAATTAAATTTCTCTCCCACAGTTATTTTATTAACATTTTATTAGTTTTGATGCAACAGCGCTATAAAAAGTCGTAGCTTGTTTAATCAAAGCCAATTGAAAATTTCAATAATTAGAATCGAATCCCGGAATCCAGATAATGCGGGACTGGGATATTATAGTTCTAGAAATTTTGCGTACATACCTCACTACTCAATTTTACATTTAAATAAAAGTGCGTGCGTACAAAGTACACATGTCAGAAGTGAATCTTTTTTGGCGAACTAATTTATAAGTCTTGCTTATATTTATGCAAATCTAAAATTTTAGATTTCCGAGACTTAGAGGAAGGGAAAAAGGAAGATAATAATATGTTCCCGCCAAAAGTCTGTCAAATGTCAATCTCAAACCTCAGTGTTGACAGTCACATTATGTTTAGATTCCTAAATTGTAAATGACTAATATTTTGCCAATTGAATTGACTAATTTAATTTCATGCTACATATTTGATTAATGTTCCAAATTTTTTTCATTTTATTTCAATTCCTATTAACATTTTTCACAAAAAAATTGTAAAATATTAGGCTGTGTGATATGATACATTTGCCATTCCAGTTGGAAAAATACAACAACTACTACTACTACTGACATTTGACAAGTACTTAATTTCAATAGTAGTTTGATGTCACTTCCGTTCATAGACCTATATAGTAGGGACACGACATATTGTTCTATACGTACAATTGCTTATATAAATAGCACCCATTTTGAAGGCACACACATAAACATATATCTATCTCGTTCTTACTCAGCACTTTAGCTCGCAGGAAAACAATATAACAGTATTTCAGTGCGTACATAAAATGAAACATGAATATACGTAAATGTCTCCGTCTCCGTCTAATGAGGCCGAAAATCCGCCATGTTTAGCGCGCCAAATGTCATTGTCACGTCAGTTCGGCCGTCTGTTTTGGGTTGTACATTATTTATTGACTTTGATATCGATTTAATATGATTGCTTATATAANACTCGCAGGAAAACAATATAACAGTATTTCAGTGCGTACATAAAATGAAACATGAATATACGTAAATGTCTCCGTCTCCGTCTAATGAGGCCGAAAATCCGCCATGTTTAGCGCGCCAAATGTCATTGTCACGTCAGTTCGGCCGTCTGTTTTGGGTTGTACATTATTTATTGACTTTGATATCGATTTAATATGATTGCATATATAAAATTTCTAATTTTATCATGCTTAAAACATACAAAAATAATAATTAAAACATATAAAATAGGATCTCAAGAAAGTCGATGCCCCAAAACTATTATCTATATATATTTAAATTCATTATGGAGCCCTCATCCGAAACATAGATTATACACTTAATATATTTGAATCCGAAATATCGGACACCATTTTGCGGTCGGAATCTATTCATCATGACACTAATCATAAATACCTCTTTAAAATATGTCATCAAAACATATTTAGACATTCTGTTTAGATATTTCGGGAAAAAGGCTACCGACAAAATCTCTTCGGAACTATTGAAATAAAATAGTTTTATTCCGCAGTGAGTAAAACACTATTGTAAATTCGTTAAATATTTATTAATTAAGTGATTTTAGAGAGGAAGTCACAAGGAATGACGTTTGTAATTTCATTAACGAATAAATGTTCTGTAGGTGTTTTTTTTTATCAGGCGGTCCCTTGATAAGTTTAAAATTTGCGTGTGGTGCGGTAGTGCGGTGCACCTTCCTTGAGGTGCGCTGCGGTAAAGTGTTACGGACTTTAGAGTCAGCAAAACAATTAAAATAGATTGTAATAGTCTAAGAAAAACACGTACTCAAAATACGATAACATTCAGCATGCTAGAAATGGGCTGATGGCACTGTACTATGCCATATCTTTATGTTTTGCGGCAAACGACAACTTTATAAAATCAGTGTAGCAAATTTTAAAAATTGTCATATCGTTTACTTGGAAAATTTGAAGCACGAACTCGTCTTAGATTTCACATAATATCTAAATCACATCATCTTTGCACATAACAATATACTTACTTCCTATTAAAGTATAAATTCTACAAATACATTCATACTCAACGATATTTAAAATAAAATAAGCCAAGAACGTTTATCGATAAAACCTACTAACATTAAAATCTTCTGGGCAGCACTAAAACCGCCATGTTTTGTGGCCAGATGACGTCACAGTGGCACGAATTTTTCGTTGACGTTTCATTTCCATAGGTTTCCTACTTCAGTGCTTCCGTTGCATACTTGCGTGACGTTCTGTAAAAATTTTACCCTCATGCGCCTAAAGAAGTTTCACTTCAAAAACCTATTCGTATCCTACAAGACCGATATACTGATGGAACTTACGATGCGTGAATAGTTTTATACCGTAATATGTATGACCCAATAGAATATTTTTAAGTTAGTTTGAGGAAAACGGGAAACAATATTCCAATCACTTCGCTCATTGAACTTATTTGACACACAAAACTACCTCTTTACTTTTATGCAAGCCTAGTAATTTTGAAGCATCAATCGATTGAGTGAAGCTCTATTGTTTTTTGATTGAGGATTGATTATTACTAGAGGTCCCGCATTAGTCGAAATTCGACTATAATTAATTGGAATTGTAAGTTTGTATACTATTATGATTGTATTTTATACTTCCATAATCACAAATTTCGCCAAGACTACACTATAAAAATATTAACAAAGACAAACAATATTTAATCTCAAATTGACAACAGACGTCAAGAACAAAAGTTTGACAATAAATAGTATGCATGCGTGTGTACGTCAAATACGTGCGGTATGTAGTGTGTGTAATGTTTTTTTTATTGATTTAATGTATCTTTTATGCATTATTTAAAAAAAAAAATATTAGCATTGTGCACTTCTTCTCTATATTCTCTATAAGTGTGGAAAATTTCATACTCCTCCGTCCGCGCAATTTTCGTAAAAAGGGATACAAAGTTTTTGCTTCAGGTATTAAAATATAGATTATTATTTTACTCTATTCTTAACTAGTCGCTGAAATCAAATCAAATCAAATCAAATCAAATCAAAAAATTTTTATTCAACATAAATGAAAGTACATACTTGTTGAACGTCAAAAGAACTACCGCCAATTCACAAGAACTAGCCTCCGTCCTGAGAAGAATTGGCAAGAAACTCAGCGGGCATGTTTTTTTTTTTTTTTTTTAATAAATTATAATTTATTAATTTTTTAATATTACATTATTTTTTTTAAATACGAATTTTTTACAATGATTATTATAACGTAACAATTACTACAATATTGAAATGCCCGGAGCGAGCAACTCATTCCCACTTTGTGCAATCTTCTAGATAATCATTGACTTTATAGTAAGCTTTATTGCACAGATGTTCTTTAACAGTTTTCTTAAACCTATGTATATGTAGGTTCTGAACATCTTGTGGGATTTTGTTGTACAGGCGCACAGACAAACACCCGAATGAATTTCGTATCTTATGTAACCTACTCATCGGCACAACAAGCTTGTGTTTGTTCCTAGTATTTCTATTATGTATGTCCGACTTTTTAGGAAACTCCTCAATATGTTTACGAACATACATCAAATTTTCAAAAATGTACTGGGATGGCATAGTGAGAACTTTAATTTCTTTNAATTATAGACAAAAAAGAAGACCGAATCGACCGAGTTGTAAACTACGCCGATGAGCCCTATGTCGACTCATCACGATGATAGCGACTCGGGTGATGAAAACAGTGATGATGATGATGGTCAAGATTATGATAACGAAAAAAAAATTACAAATACCAGCTTCGCTTCAACTGAACCAAGACCTGGCAACAGCTCTAGTTTTGACTTAATAGAAGGAATATCTATTTTACCCCAAGATTAAATTATTACAATTATTAACCTATATGTTTTGTTGATGTTGTAATAAATATATAAATAAATACATATGTTGATTTTAATAATTTAATAGCATTATGACGCAGAGTAAGTAATGTTTTTGCACGTGAGTGTACCATGCGCAAACTTACCCCCACTACGTCAACAAATGCTCAAGAAGTTTGCCGGTTATTATAATTGTCGTTTAATTTTAAATAATAAAGATGTATCATCTGCGAATAATACGACCTCGTGTCGGGACTCAATAAAACTAGGTAAATCGTTTATATATATTAGAAATAAAATTCAACATGGCGAACACAATAACAGCTATTTGTTTGTTTATATCGTTTCGTTCGTATAAACATTTACGCTCAAAGTGAACGAAACAATAGCTAAGTTTTACAGAAAGTTAACTTCATATAAAGTCCAAAAATTTTCAATTCGCTTAAAACACGTCACCGACCGACCGCGTCAAATGAACTCCCTCTGTATCGTAATTGAATTACAGGTATGGCTTCTCTTCGCAACTTTCCTCTGACGAAAAGGACATTTGTTCGATTTAATTCATAACTTTCCTTTTACGACATTCGTTTCTTTAATATAATGCCATTTTGTTCGTTCTTAAAGTACTTTGGCAATAAGAAATCAACTTCGAATCACAAAGATTCCATCATAAAGGCGAACGAGTCATACGGTTCATGCCATACACATTCTACAGTGGCTCTTTATGGTTTATGATAGCCTAGTACTTTGTCGACAGGTTCTGCGTCGAAAGGAGCGCGAATGCGAGCACGAAATGGAAAGGCTGGCTCGCGAGAAAATCGCCGCGCAACAGCGTCTGGCTGCGTTAAAACGAGAAGTTTCGGTTCGCACCACTGTGCGCCCACGGAGTATCGGTACGTTGACCTCTTTCAAAGTCATGCATTCCTAGTACTTGTGGTCGAGATTATTTAACATTCGGTGTCATCCGCATGTCGTATTCGAGTTTACTACTGCAATTACTTATTTATATTTTGTGTTCAGTTACTCGTAAGTAAATATTATTGCTGTGTGTATTTATTGGAGGTATTTATCATAAAAATACTACTAGTTCAAGAAACCAGTCTGTTTCGAGCGGAGACCAAGAGATAGTGGATATCTCTTGAAACTCGTATTAGATCGTATTAGATCGTATTTATAATATTCGCTAAAATTTTGAAAACATTGGTTTAAAACAAACAACATTTTATTTTTACAGACGCTATTTCCGACGAGAAAGACCGGGAAGAACCAATCAACGGACAAGTTTTAGGAATCCCCATTAGTGTAAGTACCATTAGTAACAATAAATTGCTATCTATAAATATATATACTTCGAACAAAATATTAACGCGTTGTTACTGTGCCGTTTTCAGATTACCTCCTCGCCGCCTCGTTCGACGTCATCAATGGAATCATCTCCACCCCACACCTTAAACTTGAGTACGAAGTTACGTACGCTACCCATTCAGTTAACACCCACCACCTCACAGGTATGTGCGCCTGGTAGCTCGACCAAAACTAGAGCTGACCTAATCCGAGATTAGGATTTGTTATCTAAACAGACGCGGCAGAGCTGCCATCTAGTGGTTCGTTTGGAGTTGATACGACACTAGCGCCAGTGATGGAAAGTGCGATACTTAGTTCATGGTCAATGTCACTCGGATTCAGGGTCATTTAGCCGATTTAATTGTATGCTCTGGATATTGGTTGCTAAGGTAAACTAAAAGCAACAAATGTAAAACGTAATCGATATTTAGAGAAACTAAAACATCTCATTTGTAATCGAAAGATAATTCAAATGTGACAGTACCTAGATAAAGTTTTGAATTATGTATACCATATCTCTCTTCATTCAAACAAATGTTTGATACTGCTAATAATATATGTGTACTTTAGAAATCGAGATCATGATTGGTCCAACATTGACATTTTCAAGTATATCTATCTCTAGTTTATTGCTTGTCGTTCGCGTTCCAATATTTCGTAAATAATTCTTAAAATAAAAATATTAACATGGCAAATACTTTTTCATTGCAAATTTGCAGTCAAATTCGACATTACAAAACATCTGGTCATGTTTTGTTGTTTAATAGTGAAAAATTATTTATTATCCACCTCATTTTAAAGTTTAATAGAAACAGTTGCGATCTACAATAGTTCGTAGGAATATCATAGCGTATTTTACTGGTTTAAAAAGAAGCAATGTAAATAGATGGATTATTGGGAATTGTTTTTCCACAGCCGTGTAAGTGTATTCCGAATTCCCGCTAAAGTTTTGACGATTTAAAAACTGTAATTAACAAATCCTGAATTGATTCGTGAGGGGTGTGAAAAGTGTTTTTAAATTGTTTATTCTTCGGAATGTATTATAATATTGAGATATCGTTCGGATACAGATGGTTCGCGCCCCGTACGGAGCTAGGCACGGCGCGGTCACATTGACGACCCTCGCCGCCACCGAACCCACGCCCCAACAAGTAAGCAACCTCACTTATAATAGCACCTTTACAATTATGGGTCTCTATAAAAAATGTGTTCTTTTTTGGAAAACATCGAAAATTTTTCATACCGGAAGACGTAGAGGGAAGGGTGCAGAGTGAAAATATAGATCGATGGATAAGTTTGTCCCTTTATAAGCTACTTTTGGACATTTGAGAGTCGTCGAAAAGGGTGGTTCTAAGTCCATTTTGAAATTAAAGTCGAAAAATTTTCGAATTGGGTCTCTTTCACTATATATTTAATAATATCACAACAAAAACAAAAGAAGATACAATACATGAAATGACTATTTCATAAGGAAGGTAGACGTAAAATTAGGTTAAAATATAATGAGACTTTTTGGCGGGAACGCGATGAGTAAAGTTGTGTGATTTGTTTTATTTTGTCTATTTAGTGTTTCTTCAGGTTTAAATGTGTAATAATGGTGGTTTGTTAACTGTTTATATTAATATCTGTGAAAGTGCACAAATGTGGGAAAATGAAACAAAGCCGCTGAACGTAACTTCTTGGGATCCTCCAAAAAGTCCACTGAAAAAATCTCAGTGAATGACCACCATTTTACTGAGATTATATTTCATCCCATATCATCTCTTATAATTTCATTTCATCCCAGTTGATTAATATCTCAAATTAATCATCTTCATTTCATTTCACTCCATAATATCATTTTTCATAAAAATAAGAATATAAATTAAAATAAGAAATGACATAAAGGTCTTAGTTACCAGGTCATAAAATCCCTTAAAAAAATATAAGGAGACTTTTTGGCGGGAACGCGAGGAGTGAAGTTGTGTGATTTGTTTTATTTTGTCTATTTAGTGTTTCTTCAGGTTTAAATGTGTAATAACGGTGGTTTATTAACTGTTTAATATCTGTGAAAGTGTGCATAAATGTGGGAAAATGAAACAAAACCGCTGGACGTAATTTCTCGGGATCCTCCTAAAAGTCCACTGAAAAAGTCTCAGTAAATGACCGCCATTTTACTGAGATCATATTTCATCCCATATCATCTCATTTCGTTTTCATTTCATTTCGTAATATCATTTTTCGTATAAAAAACTTTTCATTAAAATTAAAATAAGACTTGACTTAAAGGTCTTAGTTACCGGGTCATAAAATTCCTTAAAAGTATAAAGATTACATTACTGCGTGCTCACTCCCGTGGCTTCGACATTGCTTAAAAAACATAATGCTTTTTTTCTTTTGATGACTGCAAAGCTTCGAACAGTTAGGTGGCCTATCCTCTATACGACACAAGTATGTACTATAATTTGATTATGTAAGGGTATTTAGGAGCAATGTAATAAAATTCGAAATAAAGGGGAACAGGGTTGTCATAACCATAATAAAAATAAACCTTGCCAGCCCACCATTGATACACTACAAAGCAGCTGCCCTTGAGATGTGAAGCTACCCGCCACGGCGCTCTTGCTTGTATTATTAAATCAGTGATTATTTTTTTCAATATTTTAAAGGTTTTTATAATGTATTCCACAGAACGGTCAGCACGTTGAGAACGGCGTCAACACCGGTCTCAATGGCACCACTATAGTTCATCCAGCACAAATACACCTGCCCATATCGCAGGTGATTAAATATTTTGTTAATTCTATTTATAAAGGCCTCGTCAAACAGAACGCGAAATTAGCGCGCGTCAGAGCGGTAAACTGATGGCGTGCTATGACGCCGAGATGTTTTGTACTACTATGGTAACATACTGTCAAACAGAGCCCCAGAACTATAAGTACGCAACGCTCTGTCGCGGCGTTAGGACGCTTTGACGCCAGGCGTTGTAATTTTGTATAAATTTTTATTTTCGCGTCCGAGTGAATGTGTATTAAAATACTGGATAATGCCCGAAAAACTGATAGAATAAGTTCGAAAATACCCATAACAATGCCACATCTGAATCACTCGACATCTTAACACTTTTAAATTATCACACTGCTATCGAAAGGCACTATGATTTGGCGTTACGTTGCGTCAAGGAGCGCTGGGCTAGTTAATTTATGTGACACGAAAAGAGCGCGACGTTAAAACGCAGCGCTAAGTACGCGTTCTGTTTGACGAAGCCTTTATATCCCCCTTTTCGTTTGCCAATCGGCATCGGCATTTGGTGATGGAGTATATAGGTAGAAACTCGCACACGGAGATGCCACCATCCGACCTGGTTTGGCGGCGTAGCAGTTGAGCATGTCGGTCTGAAGGGCGGAACAGTCATTATATGAACAATACAATTGAGAATTCGACAAGACTTCTCAAGATGGGTGGCGGTGTTCTCTTCGTGATATCTATGGACTCCTGTAACCATTCAATATAAGATAAAGAGTTTGGAGCTGGGAATATTACCATCGCCCCATTCATTGAGAAGTGATAGTTAGCTCTAGAAAATCGGGGTTGGATACCTGTATTACCTCTGCCACCCTGGTCACATCAAACTGCTAACTACTTCCTCATCATTCGTCTTTGGTAGTAAGACCTTCAACTTACTTCCTACTTAGTTCCCCTACTTCAGATTCCCATTTTTACATCCATAGCCATACAGACAGCCAGTGAACTAACTGTAAGTGAAATTAAACTTACATACATGTTAAGGGCTGGTGGTATGTCACGATAGTAACGTAGTGGTGGTCGCGCAGGTGGTGGGCAGCGGCGGGCTAGTGGTGGGCGGCGCGGCGCTGCAGCTGCTGTCGAGCGCAGGGCTCCGCGTGCTGCACGCGCCCTCCCTGCATCACAACGGTACGTTACCTCTTTACAGTTCATGTTGTCCTGGTACTATTTTTTCTGACACTGTTGATTTTCGCACGGCGACGTTCATTTGTCGACCCCAGAAGACTTGTTTTCATTTCTTTATGATATACAAGGTGGGCCATAAAGTTGAGCGGATTACAAAAAATCATATAAAAAAAGCTACAAAGCTCAGGAAAGAAAAAATATAATTATAATAAAGATTACAAATGAGAATTTTCTTTTTTAAAAATAACATCGCTGAGTTGTGTGCCATCTACACGTACTCTTCCAATCTAGCCCTCAAATTCGTGAAAACTCGCTGGCATATCGCTCGTGGGATATCGGACATTTCCTTGCGAATATTGTCTTTGAGCTGGGCAATTGTCGTCGGTTTATTGGCGTAAACGCGACTCTTGAGGTACCCCCCCAGAAAAAATCCAGTGGCGTGAGATCTGGGCTCCGGGGAGGCCATGGAATATCCCCTTGACGCGATATCAGTTTTCCATTAAACATTTCGTTAACAACTGCCAAAGACTCATTGGATGTATGGGATGTAGCGTCATCTTGTTGAAACCAGGTCCTGCTGTTATAGGCTTTAAAATTATGCAGTTGTGGAAAGAAAAAGTTACGTAACATTGCTGTGTAGCGATCAGAATTTACTGTTATTGCCTGGCCTCGCTCATTTTCGAAGAAATGGGATCCGATGATTCCATGAGCCGACATGGCCGCCCAAACCGTAACTTTAAGCGAATGCAAAGGTCTTTGATGTTTCAATTGGGGATTTTCTTCGGCCCAATACCGACAATTTTGCTTATTTACAAATCCACTTAAATGAAAATGAGCTTCATCCGAGAAGAGGATATTGTTCAAACTTTGAAAACGCTCTAACATTGTTTCGGCAAATGCACGACGTAAATGGTGGTCATTTGGTTTCAATTCCTGTACTATTTGGAGTTTATATGGGTGTAATTTAAGAGCTTTGGTCAAAATACGCCTTAATGATGATCTTGATATGGCGAGCTCAGCTGATCTCTTTCGGGACGACTGCTGGGGATCGCGTCGTACAGACACCGCGACTTCGCTTACATTCTCCTCCGTTCTTATAGACCTTGGACGCCCCGCAGGTTTTTCATTTAATGTCGAACCCGAAGACTCAAACTTTCTGACCCACGATCTGATCACATTTTCACTCGGACATTGGTTTAAATCATGTAAATTAAACTTAGAACGAAATAAACGCCGCGCAATAGTGCCCGAATCGCTATTTTTGTAATACGCTTTCACACAAAAAGCACGCTGCTCACCGGTAAAACGCTCCATGGCAACTGAATTTCCGAGAACCAAGGAACCTATCCCCACTACCCGCACCCCGCTCCCGCTTTCCTGTCGCGAGTAATGTGATTTTGAAATTCGCACGCCTTTCTGGCCCACCCTGTATTATAGAGTAATCCCCCTATAACGCGTTTTCATATTACGCGATTTCAATCACCCAGATAACGCGGGGATTTCTCAACATATATTTTTGTACTGCGAAATTTATAATGTTTTGTACAGTTCATAATTATTATTAGTATCGCGTACCTTTGCACGTGTGTCAATTTGTGTATCAAAAGGTGTAGGTTAAAGGACAATGCTCAAAAGTGGGCCAACTTTATGTCAAAACTATTTGTACTTGAAAAACTATGCCTTAATTGATAACATCCCAAAACTGAGTGCCATCGTTTTTAAATTCGCCAATAGGCAAAGGGCTTAGCCCATACAGCCTTATAGTAAACCTATATGCTGCCAAACGAAAGAGATGTCTGTGACTTGAACAACAAATTAAAATCTGCCGTGTTATAGGGGGATTGCTGTAAATTTTTTTCTGGCTACTTCTGGTAAACTTCAGGGATTATAACCAGATTTTTTTACTGGTGGTAGGACCTCTTGTGAGTCCAGACGGGTAGGTACTACCGCCTTGCTTATTTCTGCCGTGAAGCTACTGCTTCAAACTGAAACGCATTACTATGCGTTTCAGTTTGAAGGGTGGGGCAGCTGTTGTAACTATACTGAGACCTTAGAACTTATATCTCAAGGTGGGTGGCGCATTTACGTTGTAGATGTCTGTGGGCTCCAGTAAACACTTAACATAAGGTGGGCTGTGAGCTCGTCCATCTATCTAAGCAATAAAAAAAGATTCGCTTCAAGGAGACTGCTATCATTCACAGGACTTATATTACGAAATTTAGTGACCCGTATATTGATTTATAAGATGATATAATATAGTATTTTATTTGGTTCACGCGAGTCGTGGACATAATTAAATCTACTTTCAAACAACTTTTATTATTTTCTTTATAACATATCCGACTTTTCGAATAGTTCACAGTTATCTAATTGTACATAAATTCATATAAAAAATTTATTTAAATAAAATTTGTATATAAATTCGTACCGCAGGTGTGACGGCTGAAAACAACAGGGTTCCTAAAGAAAACGGGGTGGTGTCACCGACGCCTGCGTCTACAGGTCAGTAATTAAATCATTAAGGAAATTTAGTTCGTTCGTATGCTAATGTCACGTTGTCCTCATCGATACGATAAGCCTCCTGGCTGAGCTTTTGCTCGCCCACCTGTCCTGGTGAAACTGGAAAGGCCTTCGGGCCAGCAGTAATCTTTCAATCATAAAAAAAAACATATTTGACTCTGAGTTCTATGGCTAAAGTCTTACAGTCCACAGAATCAACCCCGAACTTATTTAAGAATCTGTTAAAATGTTAAAAAAGTACCGCGAATCGTCTGTTCGGACGCCATTGTGAAAATGTCAGTTGTAACAAAATTTATTACGTCTGATTTAGGACTGATTGATGTTATACGAGACGGCAGTCTTTGTATTCAACTTCAAGTACGGATTTTAATTGTTTTAAAAATAATAGTAATAATAGGTTATTAAATAACAATAATTTCATATAGAAATTGTATTTACAGAAACAACAGGAAGCGTGGTGGTCAGCGGGCTAGCCCCGCTTGTAGTGTCGCAGCCCACTACGCATCTTTTGCAAACGCACACGCTCACGCATAAGGTACGCCTCCTACTCTTTATGATAGCCTAGTACTAATTATGAACATTTTTAATTTTTTTTTCTCTCATGTTCGGTTTTTTTAATCATAATAATGTTGTATATATTATGTAATCATAATAATTGACTTTTTGGGGGGAACGCGAGGAGTGAAGTTGTGTGATTTGTTTTATTTTGTCTATTTAGTGTTTCTTCGGGTTTAATTTTTTTTTTTTTTATTGCTTAGATGAATGGGCGAGCTCACAGCCCACCTGGTGTTAAATGGTTACTGGAGCCCATAGACATCTACAACGTAAATGCGCCACCCACATCGAGATATAAGTTCTAAGGTCTCAGTATAGTTACAACGGCTACCCCACCCTTCGAACCGAAACGCATTACTGCTTCACGGCGGAAATAGGCAGGGTGGTGGTACCTACCCGTACGGACTCACACAAGAGGTCCTACCACCAGTGATTACGCAAATTATAATTTTGCGGATTTGGTTTTTATTACACGATATATATACATACACGATAATATGTAATAATGGTGGTTTATTAACTGTTTAATATCTGTGGAAGTGCACAAATGTGGGAAAATGAACAAAGCCGCTGGACGTAACTTCTCGGGATCCTCCAAAAAGTCCACTAAAAAATCTTAGTAAATGACCACCATTTTACTGAGATTATATTTCATCCCATATCATCTCAATTCATTTCATTTAATTTCATCCCAGTTGATTAGTGTCTTAAATTAATCATCTTCATTTCATTTCACTCCATAATATCATTTTTCATTAAAATATAATATAAATTAAAATAAGACATGATTTAAAGGTCTCAGTTCTTCCTATTCGTACACTCATGGAAGAGTGGTCGTGGTCATGCATCAGTCGGATCCTGCGATACCGATGCTCTCGCGATGCGACGCCATGAGGCACGATGTTTCGCAGAGTGAGAGCAAACATTTATGTTGGAGTGAGTCACAGATTTTATGAGGTCGGTCCATCGTGTTGGAGATCGTCCGCGAGATCTTTTGCCCTCGACTTTTCCTTGCACCACCAACCGCTCAATGGAGTCCTCGTTACGAGTGATGTGCCCGAAGAACTTGAGGATTCGTAATTGGACTGTTGACGATAGTCTCTCCTTGGTGTTGAGCTCTTTCAGGATCGAAATGTTGGTACGGTGCGCGGTCTACGGAATTCTGAGGAGACGTCTCCAACACCACATTTCCAGTGCGTCAATCTTACGACGGTCTTGCATCCTCAGCGTCCACGTCTCAGTCCCATACAGAAAGATTGGAAAGACCAGGCATCTCATTAACCGAACTTTTGTGTTTTTGGTTATTCTGCGGTCTCTCCAAATCTTTGTTACCCTCTCAACTGAGGATCTTGTCACGGCGCAACGTCTTCGAATCTCATGTTCGCAGCCTCCAGCGTTGGTGATAGTGGAGCCTAGATATACATAGCTATTAACTACCTCGCATCCCGCTATATGTTGGACTTCCGGTTGGTTGATGTTAGCACGATCCACGATCATCATTTTGGTCTTATCACGATTGATCACAAGTCCAAAATCCAACGCTGTAGTCTCCAGCTGGCGAAGAAGCACCTCGATTTCGTCTCTGGTTGACGCCAAGAGAGTAGTATCATCAAAGGTCTCAGTTACCAGGTCATAAAATCCCTTAACAAAAAAAACGAAAACAATATTATACTATTCTCAATTTGACCACAGACTTTAACAATAAAGAAAAGAGTATATTATATGCGTGTTTGTCAAATACCTAGTAGTGTGTGTGATGTTTTTTTTTTATTTGATTTAATGTATGTATTTTTTATGCATAGTATTAAAAATATTAGCTTTCTGCACTCCTATGTGGGAAATTTTATACTCGTCCGTCCGCGCAATTTTCGTAAAATGGGGTACACTTTTTGCTTCTCGTATTAATATATAGATTATAATAAATAATAATTCTTTAATCACCCATAAGCGATTTATTTCTCTGTGCTGTGTGGGTCTACCTACACAAGCAAAATTATACCGAGGGGTTAAACGCTATTTGGTTTAAGCGACATGTATCTTTGTAAGTAAATGTCCGTTTTATTTGGTATTAGCATCAACAGTTCGATGTTTATAATTAAACTTCAATTAACTTTACTTCATTGAAATAGCTGAAGAAGTTTTTTCCAAATCTTAAACTTTAAATGGCCTAGGTAAAGTTGCAAAGATGTCAGTTAAATTAAATGGCCTTTCAACCCTCGATAACAATTTTGAATCAAATAGCGTTATTATGAATAATAAAGTTTTTGACTTATTCATCGACATGTTTGAACGCGAGATATTTTATAGAATTTTTATTGTGCTTGCTACCATTCTTTAGAGGCTCATGTTTCAAATTACCATCTTGTGAGTCTATGATATGGCCTTTGATGACCAGCCGTGGATATTGCCAATATACCCAAAAAAATACACTTAACATTTCGAAATATTTTTCAGATGGTAGAAACTCAGATGGTGAAAGGTTCTGTAGCGCCACTGACCGTGAGCGCACAGTACCTGAGCGCGACGACCATCGTGAAGCCCGTGGTGGTGGTCACCGCGCCCTCCGCGCCCCACACGTGAGTCACGCCTCCCGCGCTCGCTGACAGCCTGGTACTAACCGCCGACACTTTGCCGCCTTAGACCGTTGACTGTCAATGACATTAACATTAAGAGAAGAAGATAGACAAGAAAGTCAACAGGTGACAAGGGCATACGAAAGAAATTACAAGATCCAGTAAATCAGTCTATATGACCTTTGACTGCGTTCGCCGCTGATATATCATTCGGACGTTATTGACGCCCAAAACCATCACTGCCAAAGTGTATTCGAGCAATAAAGTTAAATCGTGCGTCCCTCTCGTGCGTTATCGTTTTCGAAGTGTGTGAGTGAGACGAGTGTGCGTCGCGCGTGACTCTGAAATGTGCACGTCTCGTTTTGGGCGTGTTTCACAATAAACAAATTACCATGAGGACGGTGATAGCAAAGTGACAAAACGATGGACGGGATCGGCCAAATAGTGTATATTTTTCTACTATAACAATATCCAGCAATGTGATTGATTACAATAAATGTAAATTATTTATATGTTTATTTATTTAGGTTGATAGGGAAGTACTCGGGGCGGCTACCTGTGGTGGCTATTCGCAAAATGGTCGAGATACAGAGATATAGTATAACCCGGCAATATTCTAAATATCTGCTGCTCGTTGTTGACATGACCTTATACTATTTTATAAAGAAAACAATAAGCGGTTCTGAAGAAACTAAACTTACAGTAGATTGGGAGGAATAGGGACAAATCTGGGATGTCACAAATACTGTTGTTGAGTTGTTAGATTTAACTTTGTTGAACTGAAAATGACTTTTATTTAGTGTTTAAGAATATTAAATAGTCATCAATTTAATTTAATTTAGTCATCAAAGTTTTTAACTCATTTAAGATATTAAAAAAAAAATAACCTAAAGCTAGGTATCTACATAACAACTAAATAGTGCCAGCCCTATCGAAAAACTATTGACCCCATACGTATTCTGAGCCCCAAAGCCAAGGTGAATCGGGTCAAGCATTTTTTTTAGTTTTTGTGTATATTTTTTAATGGACTGTATAATAACGCATCGTATATAAAATTTTAAGCCTTCGGAACCATTTTAATCTAAATTTTATTGGTATTATTACCCTAAGAAAAACCATTGAAAATTTGTGTTGTATTTAGAAAAGGTCCCGACTCCCCCCAATCTACGGTAACTATAGCTTCACAAAACGTTTCAATGAATTATATGGTAAGGTATATTTAAAGCGTATCATTGTACTGGTGCAATAATTATTATTGACAGAGAAATTAAAAAGAAAATTATACATAATTATTATTATGAGAATATATTATTTTTTTCATAACTGTAACTCAAACAAAGTGTCTGTACAAAATCCGACTTATTATGTAATAGTTAAGTGTATATATTGTTCTATAAACATGATAAAGTAATATTTTTTCTATCTGTGATCGTGGTTAGGGACTGGTGGACATTTTGTATATAACCGTTGGGTGTTGTCAATTTGTTGTGACGGAGCGTGGTTCGTGTTGTTGAACCAATTTTGGGCGGGAATCGCTCAAAATTCGTTCTACAAAATGAAATCAGCCGGTCATGCTTAGACTTAGTTCAAATGTGGCTTATTACGGTGGTAATGCGACAGAGAAATGTGATAGTAACGGCAACAAGGCACCAGGAGACCATACATCAAAAGAGTTGTCCTTTTTTTTAAAGGGATTTTGTGACCTGGCAACCTTTAAAAAGAGCTGTCAATTATATCGTTATACAGACTATAGAACAGATGTTTAAAAAGAGACTATAATATAGATAATACAATTTTTTTTTTTTAATAAAAAAGAATTAGTTCTTTAGTGTAGTAAGATTGATTAAATACACGTCGGTCTCTAGGTGCCGGCACAGGCCACAGGGCCGTCCACACATAGTGCCTAACCTGTACAAGATTTTATGAATTTGTTGACAGATGTAGTTCTAATCGAGAAACGAAAAAACAATTTCACAAAGAGAACGAACAAATTTTAAGACAATTATATTTTTGTAAGCAAGATTAAGGCTACCCCATAGATATACAGTTCTGTTCGCTCGTTCAATAGTAATGATGTTGATGTTATATTAGTAGAATTGCGTAGTTGTGTAATAATGCTGTTATTGACATTGTTTAAATGTTTTTGAAGTGAAACTTCTTTATCGGCGTTGGAAAAAAATTTACCGTCACATTTTTCGGTTACGCGTCACATTTTTCCGTTACGCGCCATCTTTTTTGTATTCATGTCTATGATAATAAAATCCTTTTGTTTAAACTTTATCTAATTTAACTTTTTTGTATTCATGTCTATGATAATAAAATCCTTTTGTTTAAACTTTATCTAATTTAACTTTTTTGTATTCATGTCTATGATAATAAAATCCTTTTGTTTAAACTTTATCTAATTTAACTTTATTTAACCAATTTCTAGAAAGTTGCATGTAGATCATTTTTCGAAAAATAAGGCCATAAAGAAGTTTCACTTCTTACGTGTGTACACTAGTACACGCACACATTTTTTTTTTTTAAAACACAAATGACTACAGGTATGGTTTCGTGTAAAATATAGATAAATGAAAGTGCCAACAGTTAAGTGTGGAGGAAAATGGTGGTTTGTCGTTAGAATATACGTTAAAAAATATCTGAGGTTGTATGTAAATATAAGTATAAAATGGCGACAAAATATCATTGATTTCCGTGGAGATCGTTACATAGACAATTTCTTTACGAAAGCGCTCGAAAGTAGTACTGAGCGCGCCGTCCATTATGCTCGGCAGTGATTGCCGGGCTTTATTTTTATACAACATGACATTTTGATTACAAATGCAGTTTACTCCCATGTTAAAAAATTGTATACCATATTATGTATGTAATTAATTGAATTATTATTGGTAGCCAAATTAATTATTCCAATTTATTATTATTATCAAGATTATTATACTTATAGTTGTGAATCTATTTTTTTTTGATTGGCTGTGACTGTGTATCTTTTTGTTTAAATTAATGCATTTTCCCATTTTCATTTCGACCATTTTTGTGTAGTTATTATATCCTAAGGCCCGCTCCTAAAATACATAAGAGAATACAGTATTTTAATACGATTGTCTGTAAGTCGAGAGTCTGACGTCACTTTGCCTAAAATAGAAGATAAAAATAATAAAAGAATATATATGTAAAAATAATATAATGATAAAGAGAGAAATTTATTTTTAATTGTAATAATATTGTGAAGCAAGTGGATGCTCATGTAAATAAAAGAAGAAAAAAAGAAAAGGAAATAGTGTATAAAGCTCTGAATATGTTAGAAATATACAAGGTATTACATCAATTTTGTGTTTGTTTTTACATTTTTTTCCTACTTATGCTTAGGTTGACTGCGTAAAATGGAATTCCATGTTCAGGATGATGTCGGAAATGGGCGTGCCATCACACCTTATCTTCCTTGTCCAGAGGCTGTACCTTGACGGGTCGAGCTTTGTGAAATTGGATGAATCACAATCTGAAACATTCCATACAGAACGAGGGGTCCGTCAGGGATGCATACTTTCTCCGAAGCTGTTTAACCTCTACGGCGAGTATATTATGAGGAAGGCGCTTGATGGCTGGAACGGCGGCGTTACGGTGGGCGGTACGAAGATCACGAACCTAAGATATGCCGATGATACAACAATCCTTGCAGCCAGCGAGACCGAGATGGCTGCGATCTTGGAGCGAATAGAGAGAGTGAGCCTTGAATTTGGCCTGCACATAAACCGCTCTAAGACCAAAGTGATGACGGTGGACAGAGCTCAAGTTTTAAGTCCATCAAATGCACTCAAGGATTATGAGAAAGTGGAGGAATTTATATACTTGGGGTCGCTGATCTCTAACCGTGGTAACTGCGAGAAAGAAATCGGACGCCGTATCGGGATGGCTAAAAGTGCCATGACTAGCCTCGATAAAATCTGGAAAGACCGTAATATTCGCCGAGTAACTAAGATGCGTCTGGTTCGTACGTTGGTCTTCTCTATCTTCCTGTACGGGGTGGAGACTTGGTGTCTCAGGAAAAAGGAACGCAAAAAGATTGAGGCGTTTGAAATGTATTGCTGGAGAAAGCTGCTACGCATTCCTTGGACAGCTATGAGAACCAATGTCTCCATCCTCGAAGAGCTGAAGGTCACCAAGCGCCTGCTGACTATGTGCCAGGAAAGGATCCGGAGTTTCTTTGGGCACATAATGCGATCCTCATTGCACAGCCTGGAGAAACTCACAATTCTCGGACAGATGGAGGGGAAGCGCGCTAGAGGAAGAGCGCCAGCTAGATGGGTTGACCAACTCAAGGAGGTGACTGGAGGCCAGATATGGGGAGCGGTACATATGGCGCAGAACCGGACCGAGTGGAGAAGATTGACATACAGTCACGATCTTCAGCATTGAGGGAACGACCAGAAAGAAATGCTTAGGTTATATCAGCGTTACCCTTTTTTTATTGCTTAGATGGGTAGACGAGCTCACAGCTCACCTGGTGTTAAGTGGTTACTGGAGCCCATAGACATCTACAATGTAAATGCGGCACCCACCTTGAGACATAAGTTCTAAAGACTCGAGCATAGTTACAACGGCTGCCCCGCTCTTCAAACCGAAACACGTTACTGCTTCACGGTATAAATAGGCAGGCTGGTGGTACCTACCCGCGCGGACTCACAAGAGGTCCTACCACCACCTAGCGTGTAAGTGAGCTCTCGAGGCTCAAACTGGGAGTGTTGCTAACACTGACCCTAGCAAGAGCAATGCTTCGCAGAATCTACCACCGCATCGGAAACGCGACCGACTGAGAAGATCCGGCGAGAAACTCAGTGGGCTGTGACTATGGGTTAATTCGCTCGTCGAGCCCTTCGTCGCAAGTGACGGGTGTACGAGGACGGTGACCGATTCTTGTGGCACCTAAAAGCACCGTTAATGGATCGGGTGAATTTCTAATGACGTGCTTAGGGCGAAGTCTAGTGTTCACCATTCGGTCCACAGGATCGGGTATGTTTTAGGCTGTCGGTAACCATCAGAGAGTGGGACAAAAATGACTTAAACTTATAACGCGCCTACAATATTTCTTAGACGAATTTGCATACAAGTTCCGATCAACATTTACCGCTCTGTTTAAGGTTAGTTAAATTAACTAAATTAAAAATTCAAAATTAAATTAACGGTTCTAATGCGGTCAGAAGCGGCTACTAGTGTGGTATCGAGTTAGAGATAATCTATGATAGAGAGATACACATGTCACCTTTAGTATTGAAGTGGCTTAATCCAATATTCTTGTTTTTGACGTGACAACGTCTTATAATTCGATGGAGCCGGCTGCACGCACGTAAACCATGAGCGTTACCATGCGGCGTTACCTCGCCCTGAGGCGATGCATCCGCGTGGACAGCTGCTATACAATAATACAATACTTGTAAAAAAAACTATGTACATTGTAAAAAAAAAAATTGACGTAATTGTATTTATGCGTACAAATAAATGTAGCTTGATCAATTCAATAGTGATTTCCATTTACCTCCTTCTCTATATCCATACAAAATATCTATTAAACAAATAAAATTAAAATTTTCTTTTGAAAAATGAAACCATTCCATCAGTATGTTCTTATGACGTTCTCACGTTCAACTATCGTCACGTAAACCGACTTTACAGACAACCGATTTTAGGTAAACACCAATAATGTAACTGAAGAATTGTAATTTTTCAGTTTCTATTTTAATATTTTAAGACATTACATCTACATACAAACATACATATATTCACATACATATACATACGTATATTCATAAATATACATACAAATATATAATGTAATTGTAATTTGTAAAAAATTGTGATTGAGCTGTTAGGTCTCTTTTGGCGGCGCTTGGATGATGCTTAACAAACCTTTTGGCCGAGTCCTTGAGTTCGCCCATCCGTCATAGCAAGGTCCTCGAAATAATCGCGGTTCTTCCACCCTGAAAAAGTTCCTCCGCGGGACCTATTATAACAAAACACAAATATAAATTAGTATTATTATGTAACGCCGATGCTACTACGCCTTAAAAATTTAGGATAGTGAGGTGAAGACAAAACTATTTTCCCGTAACCCCCCGCGAATAATACTTTTTTTGGAGTAGGAGGATTTGGAGAACACAAACTGTTACAGGTTTGTATTTGTATTTTTAAGCTGTTAACATATTTTACGGCGCCGCCAAGTGTTTATTACTGTGGTAGGTTTATTAACGGTGACCGGTGCTTGGAATGCCTAAAAGCACAGAGAAAGGATCGGGATGATGCGAAATAACATGTTTAGGATGACGGTGACGACTGTGTGTTTGCCCGCCATCTGGGTCGAGTATGTGCTTGCGACGGTCACAGAGTGCTATCGCGTTGTGCCGTGTTGTGACGCTGTCTTTAGCTGCTTACGTAGTAACTAACACAATATAGACTAGGTATATAGGCTAATCTCCCGGTGATGGTCACGGGGCGACCTGAGGGGTTGAGGCTGTGCCGCACGCTACCGTCACTAGCGCGCGGGCACCAGGAGGACGGGACGACGCGTCGGCGGATGCGGACTGCGATGCGGTGCAAGCCGTGGTCGTCGCTGTCGCCGAACATACTGTGGAAGAGCAATCCGGTCGGCGGTGTACCGCGTTTCGACCCGACATACTGCTTCTAACCCAGCGGGGTATCCCGGAACACCGGCATCGTCCGGGCGGCGTGGCAGGGCCGCGGTACCGCGGGGACCGTCGTTTTAGTCGTCGACTATCGCCTGGACGAACCGTCGGTCGAATATCCTCGGGGTGTCGCCGCCAGTCTGGTTGTCGCGTTGACCGCTGGAACCCATCTACTCTGACCGCGTTCTGACTCCGGGCGGATATCGGACGTCGGGTGTAAGAGTGCAGGGGACTCGTTTAGTGCGGTTGGGCCCTAAAACGCCCTTGGGCCTGCGGTCTGCTCCCAACACGTGCAGATCGTCCACATAATCCGCGCGCACCCTAGGCGCGTAGGAGGTTTGGCCCCCGACCCGAAAAAAAAGGTATTTAAGCTAATAAAGCACACTTTTTCTTAATTTTCTGCTAATATATTTCTGTAAAAGTTAGAAAATATATATATATATATATATATATATATTTTTTATTGCTTAGATAGGCGGACGAGCTCACAGCCCACCTGGAGTTAAGTGGTTACTGGAGCCCATAGACATCCACAACGTAAATGCGCCACCCACCTTGAGATACAAGTTCTAAGGTCTCATGTATAGTTACAACGGCTGCCCCACCCTTCAAACCGAAACGCATTACTGCTTCACGGCAGAAATAGGCAGGGTGGTGGTACCCACCCGCGCGGACTCACAAGAGGTCCTACCACCAGTAATTACGCAAATTATAATTTTGCGGGTTTGTGTATGGGCTCTAGTAATCACATAACACCAGATAGGCTGTGAGCTCGTCCATCCATCAAAGCAATAAATAAAAAAAGGAGTTAATCTAATTGAAGTTCAATTAAAAACCTTTTTTTTTTTTTTTTATTGCTTAGATGGGTGGACGAGCTCACAGCCCACCTGGTGTTAAGTGGTTACTGGAGCCCATAGACATCCACAACGTAAATGCGCCACCCACCTTGAGATACAAGTTCTAAGGTCTCATGTATAGTTACAACGGCTGCCCCACCCTTCAAACCGAAACGCATTACTGCTTCACGGCAGAAATAGGCAGGGTGGTGGTACCCACCCGCGCGGACTCACAAGAGGTCCTACCACCAGTAATTACGCAAATTATAATTTTGCGGGTTTCATTTTTATTACACGATGTTATTCCTTCACCGTGGAAGTCAATCGTGAACATTTGTCGAGTACGTATTTCATTAGAAAAATTGGTACCCGCCTGCGGGATTCGAACACCGGTGCATCGCTTCAACACGAATGCACTGGACGTCCTATCCGTTAGGCCACGACGACTTCGGATACATGCTCTTGTCATCTAAAAATGCTACTTTTGCGGCGCGAGAGCTTATTATTTTTACTGCAAGTACTAGAGAGTAGTTTGTCAGAACAAAAACCGGACATGAGAGAGTCTATTCACGCGATGTTCTTAAAAAAATCCTGTGTTCTTATAAATCTGCCTCCTAAAATACTACTGAACAATATCTTTTCGAAAAAAAAGCTGTTTTCGCCTACACTTTTACGTTCGTACCAACAGTTATTCAATTCTAGCTCTGCAAGGGGGTAACAGAATTGTAAAAGAAATACGCAAAAATATATATTTTATTAGGGTTATAAATAATAGTAAGATCGTTACCATTAAAACAATTTGAAATTTATTCAAAAACACCTTAGGTAACATTTATGTTGCGAGTTTCAAATTTATAACCTAATAATTCTAGATAGCTCGCCGCTAATCTAAGTCTGAGGCATGGTGGCGGGTCAAATAACTTTATCCGTAAAGACGTTAACTTAATTCGACATATAATAAAACTTATGCGATTACAAAGAATGCGGGCCCCGTATTTTTAAGCGCATTTTCAGTTCTTACACTTATAACTTCAAGGATTCTTACAGAAAGACATATCTACCTCTTTTATATTTATTTTGAATAAATCTATTTACGTTTTAACAAGACGACATTATTTTCGATATCGTTTGTTTATATTTTTATTTATTTATTGCCCGTGTAGGCCGATGAGCACACGGCCCACTTGATGGTAAGTGGTTACCGTCGCCCATGGACTTCAGCAATGCCAGGAGCAGAGCCAAGCCGCTGCCTACCGCTTAATACTCTCCACAAGCCTCGTTTGAAGAAGGAGATGTCATAGCGCTCGGGAAACACCGTGGAGGGAAGTTCATTCCAAAGCCGGATGGTACGTGGTAAAAAAGATCTCTGGAAGCGCACTGTGGATGACCGCAGTGGCTCCAGGTAGTATGGACGAACTCTGCTCCGGTGGCGGGCGGTGCGA